AAACAAGCCTTTCCGGAGACGTTGATTATTTTTTCGTTTTTGCCCCTATTACTCTTTTTTTCCTCGACTTCTTTAAATGTATACGAATTTGCTTCGAGACACGATGGTGCGAGATATATATGTTATCCACATAAAATAATGGTGTCGTGTTCGAAAACAAGCCTTTCCGGAGATTACTTTTTTGTTTTTTCCCCTATTTACTCTTATTTTCCTCGACTTCTTTAAATATATATGATTTTGCTTCGAAATGCAATTGTAACGCCCCGTATTTTATTAATAAAGGAAAATACTAGCTTTTAGTTTTAAGCTAGCCTTTATTAATAAATAATCATGTTCATGTTCAAGTTCAGATTAATCAGTCAGTTATATTCTATGTTCGACTATTAGTCGATAAGTTATTCGGTTTACTTATTTTAGTAACCGAATTAGTTTCCAGATTTAATTTCGATTCGTTTAATTAATTAATGAGTCCGGAATTAATTATTCAGTCAGCGATATCCCGTCACGTTAATCATGTGTTTAATTCCGATATAATAATATTGCCAAGTATTATTTTCGGAATTAATTATTTTCAGTCGAGATTACCGAAAATTATTTTCGACGTACCGTTTACGTTCGGAATAATTTTGGTAGATAAGTATTATGGTTAAAAGTTAATTAAGTATAATTAAGTGATTAATTAAATATTAATCACGAGTTTATTAGCTATAAAGCCGAAGCTTATGTGCTAATTATCCAAAAAGGCCGTATGGAAATTTCCCCACACTCAAGCTTAATGTCGTGAGGAGTCCTTAGCATAAGGTAAGATTTTTCCTTCCATTTCATGAAATTACACGTGTCCTTAGTTGGGGTTTAAGGATGTAATTAGTCACCTTAAATGGTGTCATTATGGAGCAATTGTCATGCTTATAAGAAGCCACGTTTTAGCATCATCTTTCCCCCAACTTAATTGTTCCATTCGGTTCCATATATAAAAGAATGTTTGGTCCGAAAATTTCCATCCCTTTATATCATATGCATGTCTTCTTCATTCTGAAGTTAAAGAGTGGGAAAGTTAGTGAAATTATTAAGAGGTTCTTGAGTATTGAAGGCACGGCAAGTAGCAACATCCATGCGGCAAAGCATCGTACGCCCAGCTACACACACACGGACACGCGCACACGGATCACGATCAGTTTGCGAATTCCGACGAGCACTTGAGGAGGTAAAGCCATCCTCAACTCATTTTCATGTCAATAAGTTCATTTTAGGTTGTAGTGTTTGATTCATGTTCAAGAGTTCATAGTTATGCCATGTTAAGGTTCGGTTATGCCTAGTTAAGTCGAGATCGAGTAACTTCGTATTTTATCTGGCAACTCATGAGCAAATCGTATTTATATGATCATTTTAGAACATTTTATGTTCAGTAGATTCATGATAGGCGAGATAAGTTGAAAGTTATTCAGAAATCGACTCAAAGCCGTCGCCAGCGCACGTCGCGCATGGCCACGGGCCTTTCCAAGTCATGTTATGATATCTCATGTTATAGTCAAGTTTGTCCGTGCAATTTATGTCTTAATAGCTTCAAAATGATGTTTCATGTTTAATTGATCTTGAGTTGCCGAGGGAAAAGTTGAATCGGTCGAGAGACGGCCTATCGCCGTCGGCGGTGCACGGCGCGCTCGCCACGGCCCTATTCAGTTCGTCGTGCAAAAGTGATATTTTCAAGTTATTTCAGTATTCATGTTCATGTTATATCAAATTACGTTAATTGAAGTCAGATTGCACGGGAGTTGTTGCCGGACTGCCGGCCGTGGTCGCGCTGTACGCACGCAGCGGCAGCAGTGCGCCCGACAGCCAACCGCACGACGGGTAGC